AACCGGTAGTGATCCCCCCCGGTTTTCCGGAGGGGGGGGGGGGAGGGGTTCGAACCGGTAGTGCCCCCCCCCGGTTTTCCGCCAGCAGCGGTAGAACACGCTCTTTCCATCATCAACATCATCAGCATCAGCATCAACATCAACATCACCATCTTCAGCATCACTGCCATCGCCATCATCATCACCACTACCATCACCATCATCACCATGATCACCATCGCCATCATCACCATGATCATTATCATCACCATTCCCAGTTTCATCTTCGTTAGTGTCATCATAATGACCATTACTGTCATCATTGTCACTATCATCATCGTAATCTGCATCACCATCATTATCATCATCAGCACCATGGCCATCATCGTCACCATCATCACCATCATCATCATACTCACCATCAACATCATCATTACCAGTAGCAGCAACCACAGCAGCAGCAGCATCACCATCAGCATCATCATAATCATCATCAGCCTCAGCATCATCAGCATCAGCACCATCATCATCATAATGTTCATCACCATCATCAGCATCATCATCAGTATCAGACTCATCGTTGTTGTCATCATCATCATCATCATCATCATCTTCATCATCATCATCATCATCATCAGCATTATCATCATCAGCATGAGCAGCATGATGATGATCAGCATCATGATCATCATCATCCTCATCATCATCATCAGCATCATCATCATCGGCGTCGTCGTCATCATCATTATCATCACTCCTCCCCCTTCCTGCCCTGGACCCCTGAGGATCGAGGGGGGAGACTCTCTGGTGGTGTTTCCGGCAGGCCTTCGCACGGCTGTAGGGCATCTTCCCCAAAAAGCACAACGGGGCGGAGGATGGATGACGAGCAGCCCTGCGCGGCGGGCCCAGATCACCTCACCCTCATTTCTCATCCTTACTCCTCCTCCTCATCCTCTTCCTCCTCCTCCATCTCCTTTTCTCCTTCTCCTCCTCCTTCTCTTGCTGCTCCTCCTCCTCCTCCTCCTCCTTCTCCTTTTGTTCCTCCTCCTCCTCCTCCTCGCCCTCCTTCTCCTTCTCCTCCTCCTCCACCTCATTCCCCCGCCTCCTCTTCCTCCGCCTTCGTCTCCGCCTCCGCCTCCTCCTCCTCTTCGCTCTTTTCGTCGTCCTCCTTCTTCTTCTTCTCCTCCTCCTCCCTCTTCCCCTCCTCCTCCTCCGCATCCTCGTCCTCCTCCTCCTTCTTCTCCCCCCCCCCTGCCAGGAGACCTCCAGATACCTCCAGAGACCTGCGGAGATCTCCCAGCGGGACGGGCCTCCAAGGACCGGTCGAGACCTCCTGCAGGCTTCCGGAGACCTCCGAGGGCACGTGCAGACTCTAGCTGGCGACTCTCGGAGCTCTGGATCGCCATGCAGCTGGCGGCGCAGGGGAGCCGCATGGGAGGTTGCTCGCCTTGACTCCGCGCTGCAAGCGGGGGCGGAGAGTGGCCGCGAACCTTTTCCCGTGATTTCCCCACGGCGTGACTGGGGATCTGGCGAGACGGAGGAGGACGACGAGAGCGAGGACTTTGAGGGCGATGAAGTTGCGATGGTTATGATAATGGCGACAATGATGATGATGCTGCTGATGCTGCTGCTGATGATTATGATGATGATGATGATGATGATGATGATGATGATGATGATGATGATGATGATGATGATGATAGGCATGATGGTTGTGATGCTGATGATGGTGATGATGATGAGGAGGAGGAGGAATATTATGATGAATATTGATGCTGATGATGTTTATGGTGATGCTGATGATTCTGATGCTGGTTACGGTGATGCTGATGATGACGCTGATGATGTTGATGATGAGGATGATGATGGTGCTGATGGTGCTGCTGATGGTGATGATGCTGATGATCAGGATGATGACGACAACGACGATGACGATGACGATGACGATGGATGGCCTTGGTGATGGCGATGAAGATGGTGATAATGGTCATGATGGTGGTGGCGAGTTTGATGGTGGAGGTGATGATGGGGTAATGCTGATCAGAAGGATGATGATTAGTATGAGTATGATGGTGATGCTGACGGAGATGATGCTGCTGCAGATGATGATAATTAGGCTGATGGTGATGGTGCTGATGATGATGCTGCTGATGATGATGCTTATGATGATGTTGCTAATGATGACGATGGTGATGCTGATGATGATGACGACAACGACGATCATGATGATGATGATGATGATGATGATGATGACGATTATCATTACGATGATGCAGGCTTTGGTGATGACGATGAAGATGGTGATGATGGTCATGATGGTGGTGGTAATGATGATGATGGTGGTGGTGATGATTACGATGATGCTGATGATGATGTTGATGATGATGGTGATGATGATGATGATGATGATGATGATGGTGATTATGGCGGCGACTGTGACGGCGGCGATTGTGGTGATGACCACGAGGGCGATCGTGTTGATGATGGTGGTGGTAATAGTGAGGGCCACGACGGCGGTGGTGATGGTGACGGTGGTAGTGATGATCATGATCGACTGTCCTCAGGTTCATAAGTGGGGCTGGTTCTGTCTGTTCCCCGATAGCTCTCTGAGAACTAGGAGGGCTTCAGACTGGAAACCGGCACCGCAGGGTAGTCCCAGGGCTCCCTTCGGATTCCGTCAGGGAGCTCTGGAAGAACTCCGCCGACCCTGCAGTTTGTCCCTGAAGGCCTCTTCTCACTGCTTTCCAGTACGTGTGCCGTCAAGTTTTCCAGAAGCTCTTTTCCCGAGTTTTCCCGAGTTTTCCCGAGTTTCCTTGAAGGAGCTTCCAGAAGCTTCTGCTGCCTCGCTATCCTGGCTTTAGACTCCACAAGTATGATCTTCGCAGTGCGGGGTTTCATGTTGTTGACTATGGGAGTGGGGGGGCACGATTTGCCCGCCCCGAGGGGCGCAACAACATAGAACCATCATTCAACACTTTGGTGCGTAATTATGCTTATAGAGATGTCTGCAGAATGGTTCACGCCACTTCCGCGCCTGCGACTGTAGAGGGGGGCCAGGGTGCCATCATTTGTCGCTTCCCAAGCGTCGACGGCCACGATTGCGGTCGTCGTCCTCGTCGTCAGCATCGTCGTCAGTGTTGTCTGGATTTGCGTGCTCACGAAAGCCGTTGGCTCAAGCCTTGGCGAAGTTTTCACTGGGCCCACCCGCCCTCTTCGATGATCGTTCGTGCCGCGTGCGGCTCGGAGCGGGACCGGTATCCTATGGCTTGTGCTGGAGACTGTCCAGGGGCTTCATGCCCCGTGGCGCCATTAGCCCGCCACGCAGCTGCGTAGCTCGGTGCCTTGCTGGCTGTTGGGGGGGGGGGGGGGCGTTGCAGTAGGCGATTCGGCGCTTTCATGCTGCGGCCCCGTCGTAGTGACAGCCTCAAGGAGGACCCCTGCATCACATGCAAGGTGCGGATGTTCTCTGTTACCCGTATGCCTCCCCAGGTGCGCGGGGGGGGTGGGGGGAACGACGGCGCTAGACTGGATGAGCCTGGGAGCTTTCTGTCTTCAAAGGGTTTCAAAAGGGGTCGCTCTTTTTTCAACACTCCGTTTCGCTGCCGCGTGCGTCGGAAGCGGCAACGCGTGGTAGTATATTCTAGCTGAGCATGGCCTCGCACCCTGCATGCCCCCCGAACCATGCGCGCCCCGCCGCTCCTAGCATCGGGCTGGCCTACTTCGAGCACGCATCACGCGCGGGCACGGCGCCTGGCGCGCCACGCCCACGTCTGGACGCACTCGGCGATGCGGTCGTGAACTGCGCCCTTGATCGAGGACCGGGGCGCCGTCTTGACCTCGTCCCAGCCGCCGGCCGCTGCTTCCGCGCCGTGCTTGAGCTTGACCGTGCGGACGTTGCCGTCCTCGTCCCGCACGCGCACGGCCTTCACGACCGCCCGCTCCTCCTTTTTCTGGGCCACCACGCCAGGCCAGCCTGCGGTAGTGGGCGCGAAGAACGCTCCCGCCCGTGCCTCGGCCGCGACTCCAGGCATTGCTTGGCGGACCCCGCTGCCCTCGCGCGCTCTAGGCAACCGTTGCGGTCGTACGTAGCAGGGCGAGCACATCAAGTCGCCAACGGCGAAAGCCTCGTAGCAATCGGCGCCGTCGGTCGGGGCGATTGCATGGCGGCCCAGGTGCTCCTGACGGCCTCGTCGCACGGGGCCCCGCTCAAAGGCACGCTGCCGCCGCCCGTCGCGCTCGTCTCCCGGGGGAGCTGGACGAGATGTGGACCATGATTCGCCTTATGATGTTCCAACCTACCTTGGCCGTGATCACCAGCTAGAATTTCGAGCACGAGAAAAGTACGCAAAAACTCAAAGGTTTTCACGTGTCAGACCCGACACTGTTTCGACACTCTTTCGACACACTTTTGGGTGCTCAAAATCATATCTGGGATGTGGTCCTTACGCACGCTGGGAGCAGCATAAGATTAGCCAATGGCTCCAGAGCGGGCGGTAGCCAGGTCATGCAGACTTGCACTTCTGACGCGCGTTATTGCAGCTGGCCCGCTCGGCCCCGATGCCTGACTCGTCGGGCTCTCGGAGCATGCCGTCCCTGCCTGAGCTCGGCGCGGGCCTGTCCCTCAAGGCTGCGACGGGCCATGCGGCGGCGGACCTCGTCCGAGCACATTGCCACGGAGTCCTTCGAGATGCCCTGCGCCACGGTCCAGTCTCCGCGGCTCGGGCGCCGTGCAATCCACGGCGCGCGCGCCAAAGGAGCGGCGGGTGGCCCTTCTCCCGCAGGCGCCCTCCCACTGCTCCCGAGAGAGTTCGGCGCGCTTGCCTCGCCCTGGACCGCGGCTCCGAACCTCACACCAGCGCACGTCCAATCGCCGCAGCGGCACCCGCACAAGGGCGGGACGCTCACGCGATGAGACAACAGGAATGCCAAAGCACGCTGTTCTGCCTGATGGTCCGGACCGACGAGCCGAGATCAGTTTCCACTGCGCTGTCCCGCGGGCGCCTCCAGTTTGCCCGCGCTCGCGCGCAGGCGGATGACAGTGTTTTCGGTCGCGGGGGTGAGAACCCCTCCTCATGTTCGGAGTCTGTCCTGGGCACCCCATCCACGCGCGCAGGCGTGCCAGAGTGGATCAATGTTTGGGGTATCCCCTTGGGGCAGTTATGCCAGTTCTGTGCAGGGTTTGCCGCACGGGCTGCAGAGGCTGCTGCGTGACCATCCGCTCTTCGGTTAGCGGTACTACTCGTCTGAGAATGTATCTTGCTATCTGGTGGATGCTACTCTCTCCTGCTTCATCGGAGCTGGATTGGGCTGTTCCACGTGTGGCCTAAAGGGCATCGCTGTTGTGGATGTCCACTTCTGCCACGTCACGGCATGGGGGGGGGCCGACTAACAGGAACCACACAAAAAACACATGCACATCGTCCTGCTCATAAGCCCCAACCGTACACGTTTCGGAAGCCTGCCGTGCGGAAGAAAAGGAGTAGGTGAGGAAGGGGGGATGGGGTCCTTGGCCCAGGGGGCATCCACTTGTGGATGCCCCCTCTCTGCCGGATCAGAACACGCGGGGGGAGGAGGAGGAGGAGGAGGAGGAGGATCCTCCTCCTCCGCTTCCGCCTCCTCCTCCTCCTCCGCTTCCGCCTCCTCGTCCTCCTCCTCTTCTCCTCTTCCTCCCCTCTTTCCTCCTCCTCCGCCTTCCTCCTCCTCCTCCTCCTCCCTCCTCCTCCTCCACCTCCTCCTCCTCCTCCTCCTCCTTCTCCTC